AGTTAACCCTGGGAAGCAGCTGTGATGAAAGAAATCACCCTTCCTTTGTGTTCTCCAAGAGCAGCTTACTGCAAAGAATCCTCTTCCTGTTATGACTTAGATGATGCTCCCTGTTTTAGGCATCACAAAGCCACAGACTCTCCTGTTTCATTTTTCCCCCAAAATAAGCAATTAAATAAAGAATTCTGTCTTTGGTGGTCAGAACAAAATATGTGTTAACCAAACTTGCTGAAGTTTCTCCCCTTCTCCAGGTCCCTGGGCTTTGTCCCACCCATAGCCTGAGCCAATGTTCAACCCCTCTTCATGCCCCTCCCAAGAACAGGCTGACTTCAGGGTGAAACATTCTCTGATCAGGGATCTGATTTTGCCCCAGAGTCGTGCCCTTCCTCTCCCACCTTGAATCACATTTGCTCCTATGAAATAAAGGCCTTTTCTGCCTCAACTGTGAGATCCACAAAAATCTTACAGTTGGTGTTTTCCTCCTCTTGCAATATTCCTTTAAAATTAAGGAACTTCTTACCTATATCCAGATGTCTTATTTGACAACGTCAAGAAACAGTCCCAGGACACTAACAATTCTACCCTCAGAAAGAGCCTCTTAACCTCCCTTCCAGCCTAACCTCGACCACATCTGCCTGTGAATCCCCTGCTTTCCAGAACTCTGCAGCTTCTCCCAGTACAAAGGGCTCCCTCCATGGCTGCTGTGAACCTCAGGGACAGCTGAAGGGGGCGCTCCCCAGGAAGAACTATCTGGGCCTTCAATGACCTCCTTTTGCAGACTCAAAGAAGGCTGAGGTCTTCTACTGCTCAGTCAGGGTTATTCCACACACCTGCTTCTCACTTCGCAGGCTCTGCCCCTTAGGTCCATCAAGGTGGGATGCCTTCTTCTCATCCCATCAGCTCTCCACAAGCATCTAGCGAGCTCTAAAACCTACCCCAGGATAGCAAACGTCAGACTCTCCTCCACTCTCCTGGCACTGCACACCTTCTGGGGAGTGCTGCCAATCCTACTTCAACTGAAGGGACAGGGGCAGGTGCCCAGCCAGTCAGATGTTCAGTGACCTAACAGGTTTCAGGAAAACAGCAAAATCACTCAAACACCGTTTTTATAGAAAGGAAGGAAACGGCAAGGCACTTACACTTTATACTTCAACAGGTCAGGCCACAATACCTCTTTCGGGCAAGAAACATGTCATTTAATTATTTCCATAACAGCAGATAATTTAGTATATGTGAACACTTCTAGGAGGTGCCAAGTTCTGTCTCATAAAATCTGGCATTAAACTCGGACATCCAGATAGCAGTAGAATATGGAACAGAGATATCCACTGTCACAAATCCTCCACTGCAAAAGAGAGGCCCTGACGTTTTAATGAATGTTTGTAATTGACCAATTAATCTAGCACACTTTCTGTGGAAATGTATTCGTCTTCTACAGCCATAGTGGAAGACAGATTGTCCCTATTTCTTTTCCCCAACAGCATTTCCAAGTTAAGCCCTGGGATTTTGAAATCGCCGCTGCAGAGGACCCTAAACCACAAACCACGGCGGCAGGCTTCCCATTTCACCAATCGCTGTTTGCCCAAATAAGCCCTTCTACGCTTTAAGGGTGAGCCCCTTTAATTTGTAGGAGGAAAAAGGAGACTGGGGATCCCACAGGGCACAGTTTCTTCCCACAAAAGTATCACACGCCGAGCCGGGGTTTCCCCTGATATACTCCCGTTCTCACCGCACAATCTGGGGAGACTCCGAGATGTGGCGCGGAGCTGCCTAGAGACGGCTTGGGTCAGGGCCGAGGTGGCCCCGGGGGGTCGGGACAGGGCGCGGGAGCCTGGCGGCCGACCCGGTCACCACCTTGTGGCGGAGGGGATCGAGGGCCGAGTTGTGCCCGCAGGGACTTGGGGCCCAGACCCGAGGGCTGACCGCGGGCAGGCCTGGGTGTCCCCAAAGCGGGTTCCCGCCGCTTCCGAACGCCCCTCTCCCTCCTCTGGGGACCCCAGACCCGGCACATTCACCATTTCCCAGCTTCAGGGATGTCCTGGCGTCTTAGCTACGGATCTCCCAGGGCCTGCAGGTCACAGATCAACAAAGGTTCTGTCTATTCCCAGAACGCGAAGCCGCCTTCGCCTCCCAGATGGAAGGACTGGCAGCGCTGGTGAAGAGACCCAGCTCTCACTGCAGTCCACAAAGGCCCCCCCGCCCCCATCCCGGAAGCAGCCCCTGCTCTCCAGCTGCTCCCGATTGGACGATTTCCACTCCGACGCCCCTGACTGGGTAAAGCTCCAGGCCCCGTCCCCACATTAGTTCTTATTTTTTCTTAAATGGGAGAGGGGCTCATTGAGGTGGGGCCACCTGCTGCGGGTATTACAGCTAATTTAAGGGGTGAGCTGGGGCTTGAAATGCACTTGCTTTCCCTTACCTGGTTCTGCTTGTATAAGGCACCTAATTAGCTAATTAAGTTTAAGAAGGAGGACATTTGGACACCTTTAAAACAACTTTTTAACAATAAAGACCCTCAACCTATCCCTTAGCACCTCTCTCACGACTCCATACCCCACTGCTCAGGACATAACTGTGGGACTGCAGAGGGAACTGCTGGGGGTTTTGGGGAGCACACAGGAGGCTTCAATGGCCAATGCACTGGTGGCTTTCCTTGGGTGTCACTTAAAATCTCGAGGTCTGGGACATCTTTTTTTCCAGTTGGCCCAAGGAAACTAACAGAAATGAGGATTGGATTTTTTTTTTCTTTTCTGAATTTCCAGAGATAAAGGACTATCCAAGCATCCCAAAAGGCATTCAATTATACCTGAGGCCGAGGGCCTCCGTGCTCTGGAGAGGGATGGCCTGGCATCAGCCACCAGCTGCAGTGAGCTGAGATGGTGCCACTACAATGAGCCTCAAACTTCCCTCTTGTAGACAGGCCACCTCCACACACCCGCTTCTCACATCGCAGGCTCTATCCCTACGGTCCATCAAGGCAGGCTGCCTTCTTCTCATGTCATTAGCTCTCCACAAGCGTCTAGTGAGCTCTAAAAACTACCACAGGATGGCAAACGTCAGACCCTCCTCCACTCTCCCAGCACTGCATGCCTTCTGGGGAGTGCTGCCAACCTCACTTCAACTGAAGGGGACAGGAGCAGGTGCCCAGATGCTCAGTGACCTAACAGGTCCAGCATGCCCAGGGTCTGACCCCACATCCTGGCACCCCTCCCCCACCCGCCCTGCACTCCAGCCTTTTTTCTTCTGTCTCCAATGACAGGGGATGTTCACCTGTGCCACAATCCCATGAGTCTAGTGACTGGGCCAGGTAAATCCCAGCTGAGTGCCTGTGACTCCACCCTCTTACCTTCCACTCAGACGACATTGTAAGCATAACCTTGAATTTGACCTAATTTATACATTATCCTCTCCTAGTAACCTGACAACAGCCCTCACAATCCAGAGACTGGGGCAGCGGGTTTCAAAACCTCACTTTATTCCAATGTGAAATGAAGACATGATGGTTTAAAAATGAGAAAAAGTTCCTGAGAAGCTGTGGGGGTGCTTCACTTGCTAGCTCATGCCCACTCCCTCTGAAACAAGGTGTCTGGTGACACCATATCCATAAGCGGCTCTCTGCAAAGCCCCACGTAGCGGTCACAGCCAGACAGGCTCCCTCAGGCTCACAGAGCAGCAATGTTCTCCCCCAGTCCAGGCTCCCACAGCAGGCACAGACAGGGGCAGAGAGGCGGCAGCCATGGCCCGTGGGGTCCCCTGCCACCCTCAGAGCTAGTCTCCGCAGAAGGTGCTGTGTGATAAGCAGCGGGGCTCCACAGAGAGGTGACAAGCCCTCCTGTGTCTGTAACCTTTCCCCAGGATCCATGTCAACCCTGGTTCCCCACGCTCTTTACCAACCCCACCCTCCCTGTGTCAGGCAGCTCGGGTAAAAATGGGGAGAATGATACATTCCAACTGTAGATCCCAAGGTTCTGTCCATCTGGGGTACAGGGAGTAGGGAGGCCAGTCAGAGCCTGTGGCAGCACCTCCTGCTGGGCCTGAGGGCAGACAGGCCAGGGCTGGGCACAGGGACATCTGGGGGACCACCACTGACAAACCTGTCCCTCTCAGCCTGGAGCTATGGCCAGGCCAATCATGACTAATAAAACCACTGCAGCCTTCATCCTGCCACAAAACTAAAGTGCACCCCAACCCCCAGCCCTGCCACAAAGCTCTGGCTCCCCATCTTTTTTGGCTTAAAACTTAGACATTAAGGCAGGTTGGGCCTGGGAATTGTGGCAGTAAAAGCAGCAGCCATAACGTCAGCCATGCAAATGAGCTGAGGAATCCCATCTGCATGTCATCCACTCAGAACTGCCTCAGGGCGATGTACAGGCTGGGAGGGAGAGATCAATACTGGTGGCCATGGACGCACTCCACACCCCTGATGTAAGATGGGGAGGCTGAGGGGAATATGGGAGCCTGAGGGGCCCCACAGCTGGGAACTGAGGACCGTACATGCCATTCACAGGTCTTCAATTAGGCCTTTGCATCATATATTCACTGAACCAGTGCAAAAGAATCTTTTAGGGGGCATGCAGGCTGGAGACCCAGGAGGATGGTGGGGGTGGAACATGGAAGAGGGGCTCACTTCCTCTAATCTGCGAGCATGCCCCTTCTCCTGGAGTCCGCATCTCTAACATCAGGGTCGCTGACTATCTCTGTCTCTCTCGATCCCTGCAAGCTCGAGGAAAAAGGATCCCTGGCAGCCACAGGGCTGGGAGCTCAGTTCCTCTGGCCCTGCTGGCTCAGAATCAGTGGCCATAGGGTCCCCAGACCTAGCTCTGTTGTTTTGAGGCAGGGTCTCACTCTATCACCCAGGCTGGAGTGCAGTGGCACAATCATGGCTCACTGCAGCCTGGACCTCTCAGGCTCAAACAATCCCCCCACCTCAGCCGACTGAGTAGCTGCGACTACAGGTCGCGCCACCACACCAGGCTAATTTTTGCTTTTTGTAAATGGGGTTTCATCATGTTTCCTAGGCTGGTCTCCAGCTCTTGAGCTCAAGTGATCCACCTACCTTAACCTCCCAGAATGCCTTATCCCTGTTTTTCTGGACTCCTGGAACTAGTGGCACTGCACCACCTCTGCTTTCAGATTCTCCTAGTCTTCTGGGGGAGTAGAAGGTGGGAGAGGAGGTAGGTGTCAGACTGGGCCAGGACACCGGGCCCCCTCTAGGCTGGTTAAACTCCCACTTGGAACAGATCAAGCTCCGTGCCATATTCAGTGAGACGCGTGGAACAAGTACTTCCCTCCTAAAAGCAGAAAGATCCCTGATTGCTGACAGTCAGGATTCCATGCACTTGATTCTGCCTGGGGCCCGGCTGCCTCTCACCCTCACACCCAGTTCCAGTCGCTGTACTCTGTGGCCTCCCTGCCACCAGATTAGGTGTAGACAATGGGCATGGGACAGGGTTGCTGACACCCCTGGCTGACCAAACCCCTTTCCCACACTGAGGGGAGAAAAGGCAGGAGGTTAGGGGCTCCTGAAGGCAGCACTGCTTGTGACAGCACAGCAGGAGTCCTTAGGGCCTGCTCCTAAGGCACACTTTGCACTGGAACCAGAGGCAGCCGGGGAAGGAATAAAGCCACTCCTTAGGAACTGAAATGCAAGATCACCAAGATATATTGTTAAATGAAGTAAACAATAATAACCTTCATCCGTGGCATGCCACAATTCCAAAGAAAAAAAAGAGGGGGAAAAAGATCACATGGAGTATTTCTGGAAGGATTCACAAAGAACTTCTCATCACTGGCTACACTTTCCAATTTTGAGCCATGTCAGCCTATTACATATCTTAAAAAACTAAAGGCCAACTTCTAAGTAGGGAGCCATGGAGGGGCCTCAGCTGAGAAGAATGAAGAGGACAACACTGATGACCTGGAGCTGCTCCAAGACGCTGGCCATGCTGGGGGCTGTGAACTGAGGGGCCGTGGGGGGATGAGCTGTGAGTGAGGCTCATCCTACCCAGGCCGAGTAGGGGCCCAGCTCCACCCAGGGATATACCTGGAGAGGCAGGATGCTGGCGCTGCAGCCCACCGGTATATCCCATTCACGGTGTGCTGCTGGGCCACAGCCTGCTGGGCCGGGCACTTGAGGTTCTTGGAGCTTTGCTTCTCGTGGTTCTCACCCAAAAACAGGGGAGAGAGCAGAAGCAGGAAAGGACTAGCTGCCCACAACCTACAGGTGCATCTCAACCCGCCAGCCCTGCCACAGCCCACCTGGGCCTTATAGATGGCATCAGATTCCTTCTTCTGCTGCAAGCCCAACTGGAACTCAGCTTTGCTCTCACAAACCCAAGCAACAAGGTGGTGGCTGCCAGATCTCCCCAAACAGGAAGACAGCCAGAGTATGGAGGTGGAGGAGAAGGGGTCCACATTCAGACCAGGACTGTCAACAGAGACAGGAATGCCACTGGCTTCTGGAAAAGAGTTACTTGTGGTGTGGGAAATTTAACATGGTCAACTCCTAAGCACTAAAAACCAGCAGCACTAACACTCAGGGACTGTGACCTTCACAAACCACCCAGCAACTTCCAAACCCTCCTTAGGAGAACAGCACAGCTCACCTGGGTCGCTGGTTTCACTGCTCACTGGCTTACAACCAACACAAAGCTCCAGATTCTGAATCTGGGAGCCTGATAGCAGGTGGGTGGGGGATGGGAAAGGGGCTCTAGTGAGTGTGGCCAGAACGAGCTCTTCTTCACTGTCCAGAGCTTCTCCCTTCAACGACCCAGCCCTAGAACAACCCGGGCTGCCCATTGCCTGCAGCAGGGTGCAGCTGGTTGTAGCCCCAGCCTCAAAGGGCTGCTCCTCAAATGTGCTCCATGAGGCATCCACCAGCTCCTGGCACAGGCGACAGAACCTATGCCTATGGGTGCAGGGGAAGCTGACATGGGAGCATTCCTCTGGCAGCTCCTTGTGGGGCACAGGCAGGGAGCTGAGGTCAGGGGCAGTGGGCTCAGCAGGTAGAGAATATAGCAGCACCTGTCGTTGCCAGTGATGCCCATGCCCTCAACCGAGAAGAGCTCCGCCTCCGCGTCGCAGTGGTTGAGCGTGCAGTGGTGCAGGGTCTTCAGCAGCCAACTCGTGCTCCAGCAGATCCAGGCAACACAGGGGCCACACCATTGTCTTGCAAAGTCAATGGAGACACAGATGACACTCTGCTCCTGATCCCATTCCAGGATGCCAGGGACGAGGACTGGAACCTGACCCAGTAGCCGCGGTCATCCACCTCTGCCGTGTCCAGCGTGTACAGACCCTCCATGTCCACTGCATTGTGCCAGTGCTAACCGTTCAGGTCATTGGTGAATGCTATGGAGGCCGCCACGTCCCCAGCAAAGTCCTTGTAGTGGCCACTAACAACAAAGCCCAGGCTGAAGATGACACGGCTCCACGTGAACATCTGCAGCGGGGTCTCCTCACTGGGGCTGATGGCCATGACGATGCCTCCCTGACCGACGCCCCATGTGGCTGCCACTCTGAAGTTGCTGTGTACCTGGGAGGGACCAAGGCTGGGAGGGCGAGAGGCCACGCCCACAAAAGCCTCAGGCTACATCCACCTGGCCCAGCTCACCAAGATGGGGGAGGCCAGTTTCCCTCACGTCCCTGCCGTACACAAGAAACATTCCAGCAGGAGACAGGTGGGCCTGAGGCTGTGAGGCTGTCACTCACTCACCAGGGGCTTCGGAACCTTGAACATGGCTTTTTCTTGAAGCAGCTGCTCAGGTTGGTTCCTGTAGGGCAGGTCCCTCATCATCTGCAGCTCCTCGTTCCAGTACTGGGGCTGCAGAGGGACCAGGGACGGAGACATGGGCTCAGCCTGTGCACTGCAACCTGCCCTGGGAAGTCCCTTCTCCTCTCTCCCCACAGACAGCCCCAGAGTCCCCAATGAACAGACCCACGGGGAGCCTCAGGGAAGCGCAGAGAACCCCACCTGGCACCCAGGAAGGAAGGGGGTTCCCAGTGAGGACCGGGCCAGGTCACAGGCCCCTGTGCAGGAATGTGCTCCTCACAGCCCAGCCCCGAGGTACAGGCGCCTCTCCACACGTGCAGTCCACAGTGTGTTCCGTCACAGGGGCCATCCAGCTGCACACCTGGAATGAGGTGGCCTCTCTCGAATGGGTGGCACTGGACCCCATGGCAGGCAGGGGAAAGGCAGATGGGGCCGCCCACCAATCTCAGGACCCTGCCACAGGCTCCTTCTTCATCAAGGCCCTCACCTGCTCCGGGTTTTCCTGGCCCTGAGATGCTGCCCTGAAAGGCGAGTCAGAAGCACATGGGCGCCGCTCCCAGGGCTGCTCTCGCCAGAGCTGGCTCACAGCTCCCTAGAGGGAGACCTGGAGTCTCTTGCAGTTCCCAGGGGACAGGTGCCAGCCGCTCAAGGCGAGCACTTTCAGGGGCTACAGGAATGGCCAAGCATGAATGGGCCAGGCCTCCTGGTGTGTGGCCCTCCACCCGCCCGGGGACCCTCTTCCTTGCTCCTCCCTGGAGTCCCACCTTTTAGTCACCGTTCTGGGGCTGCAGGGGACACAGTGGCTGTTCCAGGTTTCCGAGCAGGATGTGCTTGGGTGGTGTGCAGTCGGTGGGGTCCATCTCCAAGCCTTTCTGCTCCTGCTGCCTGTGGGACCCGAGGCTGGTGGTCAGCACACGAGCACCCAGGGCCAGCTGCCTCTAACTGTGGCCCTGGTCTGGGTTCCTCAGGCCCAGGCTCCTCCAGGTGGAAAGGTCTGGCCTTGAGCCCCCTTCGTCAGCCTCTGACCTCCTTGCTCCTGCCCCTCTGCCCCCGTCCAATCTCTGGCCCCAATGCCTCCGCACCTCCCAGGCCACTGTCAGTGAAGACGCTCAGGAAGGACAAGGAGCTGCATCACCTGGGTCCAGGCTCCTGAGCGGTCTCAGATGTGGCACTCGTCACCGCAGGCCTCATGCACTGTGCAGGGCTCTGTCAGGAACAGGAGAGGGAGCAGGTCCTCCCAGGGCCCTGCATCCTGGAACAACCACAGCTCAGAAAATAGTTGGCAAGGAAGCTTCATGGATGATTTTAATTTTCAACTTTAGGCTTCATTTTCAAATTCGCTATGGACACATAAGCTATATTTTTGGTTTCAGTACACACATGTGTTCATACAGTACCTACACACACACACAAACACACACACACACCCCTACTTTGGCTACAGAAGGCAAGAATCCTCACTAGCAAAGAACCTCCTGCCAGTTACTTCTGGAAGCACACACAGGCCTTGGGGAGCCACAAGGCCTCCTGCATTTTTGATGCGCTAATGTCTGAGTGGAGCAGGGCCTTCGGCACTGCGGAGTCTCCTGCAGCCTCGCCCAGCTCTCCTGGGAGCCTTCACGCAGGGGTGGCCTGAGAGCTTTCTAGGGCTGCCGATTCAACGCCCCCACTGAGTTTCATGGGATTTTGGTCATTGTTTTGGGGGAGGAGAGGTTGTGATGAACTGTGGGCCCCACTCAGGCTAGAGACCCTTTCCTGAATTGCTCTTAATAATCAGGCCCCGGGAACCGAGTGCTTCGCCAGGGCAGAGTCTGTGGAAGCTTTTGTTTGGCAAGCCAAGCCAGGCTCACCACACCAGCCCATGGTGCTGCTTGGAAGCCGACTTCCCCTCCAAGGACTGTAAAACTTTTTAGTTTCTTTAGGAGACTAAGTGCTCATCTTTTCAGAATTTAATCGGGCTGCATCCAAGCCCTAGCTTCATACTGCCTGGCTTTCTTTTCAAATTTCAACTGTTTTTTCACCCGGGCCATGGAGAGTTAGAGATGCGGGTATGATGCCCTGAAAAGCAGACCTGTGCTCCAGTCCCACCTCCACAAGCTCGTCTGTGACACACAGGCCCCAGCTACAGGCAGTGAAGTATTGCCTGGCCCTGCTCACAGGCCCTCCTGGGCAGACAGCCCAACTACGGGCCAACCTTCCACCACATGGAGCACCAAGCCCGCCTGCGGCCCTGCCATGCTGCGCAGCTCTGAGAGGTGGTCCAGCGTGGAAGCTTTTATTTGGCAACCAAGCCAGGCTCACCACACCAGCCCATGGTGCTGCTTGGAGCCGACTTCCCCACTCAAGGACTGTAAAACTTTTTAGTTTCTTTAGGAGACTAAGTGCTCATCTTTTCAGAATTTAATCGGGCTGCATCCAAGCCCTAGCTTCATACTGCCTGGCTTTCTTTTCAGAATTTCAACTGTTTTTTCACCCCGGGCCATGAAGTTAGAGATGCGGGTATGATGCCCTGAAAAGCAGACCTGTGCTCCAGTCCCACCTCCACAAGCTCGTCTGTGACACACAGGCCCCAGCTGGGGCAGTGAAGTGTTGCCTGGCCCTGCTCACAGGGGCCCTCCCTGGGCAGACAGCCCAACTTCCGGGCCAACCTTCCACCACATGGAGCACCAAGCCCGCCTGCGGCCCTGCCATGCTGCGCAGCTCTGAGAGGTGGTCCAGCGTGCTGCCACCCGGGTGCAGTGAGAAGTGAGGCGGGGACATGGGTATTCATGGTCCATGAACACCCGGTGGATCTCCAGCACCATCTCCTGCGGGGACACCTGCCAGGGAGAAGGCCTGGACCACCCTGGTGAGAGGCCACATGGTAGGGAGCAGGGACACACCCCTTTCCCCAGCCCCAAACACCTGGGTCCTGAGAATATATGTCTGAAATACTCAGTTTCCCACTTTTGGGCTTTTACATTCCAGGCCTGCCCATTGGCACCTGTGTGCCCAAGTGCAGGACAGAGCCTGGCCCCACTGACTCTTCCTGCAGCCTAATAGCAACCCCTGAGCAGAGGCGTGGGAGTTGGAAGAAAGGGAAGAATGACAGGCTTGCTCTTGCCCTTGCCTAGTGCCAAGGGCTAAGCGCCCCAGGACAAATGGCCTTTTCCTTCCTGAAGGGGTGCTCCAGGGCCCAAGCCTGGGAGCAGAGAGGACATGAGTGGGCCTTGCCCGGCTCCCCACCAAGTTACCAGCCTGCAAGTCCTCCAGGTTTGCTCTGTCCTTGGAGAACACCCAATACCACCCCCCAGGCCCCGGTGACAGATGGTAAAGTCATGGCCCAGAGAGAGGTGACTTGCCTGAGGGCACAGAGCAAGAGGCTGGGGCACCCTGGACCTGATATTACCCACCCGCTCCCACTCCTCTCCCTAAACAGGGCTGGTAGGCCCAGCTGGTAGCTGTCCTCTAGCAATAAGGCAGTAACTGAACCCGTACTCCATTCCCAAGTCCACTATGTTAGCAGAGTGACCCCAGGCAGGGCCCAGGGCCCTCCATTTCCTGCCTACAGCACAGGGCAAGGAGGAGCCAGGGCAAGGTTGGGTTTTCCAGCCTCATCCTCCCCAGCAGGCTCAAGCCCTGGCCCCCAGCTCTCCTCCTCCGTGGTACCTGCAGGGAGAAGGGTTCGATCTCGGGGCCAGGATCTCCACAGAAAAGCCCAAATCCTGAATAGTGACTTCTATTCAGTGGTGTCATCTCCTGGCTTGGCCTCATCCAGCCCATGTTCCCGGGATGGCTCAGCCTCCTCCTTCCTCCTTCAGGCTCCTCCTTCTTCAGGCTTTCCAGGCAGTTCCCATTCAAGAACATGAGTGATGGTGGCTCTGGGGGTGACAAGAAACGCACCGAGTCGGATGGGCATTGCTGGTGAGGGAGGGCTGTCCGCCTCACCCCACCTGGGTGGGCACAAGTCGTATGGAACTGTGTCCACGTGCCCTCCCAAGCCTCGGCTCCACAGTCCCAGCTCACCCTCAGCGCACCTGCAGGCTGCTGCCTTCTCCCTTTCACATCCTGTGCCTCCCTCCTCGACTGCTCCTCCGCCCACCACAGTGTGGCTTCCACCTGAGCTCACTGTCCAAACCACTTGCCCCACATCACCAAGGCCACCCTCAGGGCCAAGCCCCAGGGATTTCTCCAGCCCAGGTGCATCGATCCACTCAGCAGCACCCAGACCACTGCTCATTTCCTCTCCTCCTCCCTGACCAATGCCACACCCTCGTCCCTCCCTCTCCAGCTCCATCCTCTTCCTCCAGTCCTGAGCTGGGAGTGTTGGACCCCCGAGCCTCTCCTCATTCTCACTTCACCTTCTCCCATGACTTCAAAGGTGCTCCCATTTCCCAGCTCTCATAGCCAATCCTGGCCTCGATCAGGCCTTTCAGACCAAGGAGAGAGCTGTCTCCCGGGCATTAACATGTGGCTCTCCCTTCAGTATCATGGAAGACCCATCCTGCAGGGATGAAATTCATCTTCCTCCACAAACTGATCTCTGCTCTGCGAAGGACCCCACCACTTATCTAGTCTCCCACCCTCAATCTCCCTTCTCCTATTTCAAGAGTGCCACCTGGAACCCTTCTAAGAAGCACACTGCTCACAAAACCAAGCTGCCTTTTTTTTTTTTTTTTTTTTTAACGGAGTCTTGCTCTGTTGCCTAGGCTGGAGTGTAGTGGTGCAATCTTGGCTCACTGAAACCTCCACCTCCTGGGTTCAAGAGATTCTCCTGTCTCAGCCTCCCAAGTAGCTGGGATAGGTGCATGCCACCACGCCCAGCTAATTTTTGTATTTTTAGTAGAGACGGGGTCATGTTGGCCAGGCTGGTCCTGAGTTCAGGTGATCCACCTGCCTAGGCCTCCCAAAGTGCTGGGATCACAGGCGTGAGGCACCACGCCCAGCTAAAATCAAGCTTCTTAAGCCAGTTCTCTCAGGCACCAACCTAATGGCAACCCCAGCTCCTGCCAGCTCCTCCACTGAGGTCTACATTCCCCAAACTACAGAAGCCTGAGAATACCTGAAACCTGCCCTCTCACCTCTGTGCTTTTCCATGCTGCCCCTGACATCTCAGTCTGTCCGGCAAACGCTGACTCATCCTTCAAGGCCTAGGTGAACGTGTCTACAGGTAGACTACTGCTGCCCACCTGCTGACCATCCTCCTTCCCAGAGATCAGTGAATGAAGGATGTGGAGCCCCAGAAGGAGGGAACTACATCTTCTGATCTGTCCATAGCCTTGACCTCCAAAGTTTAGATGTGGATGGAGTAGAATAAAGGCAAACTTCTTTTTTTGCAATTTGGCCTTGACCCTAATGGTCAGGCTGCATCTGCTTGAAATTTATAACAAAGAGCAAACGTTGATAACGTTGTGAATTGCAGAGGGGAAGCTGACAGTTGAGAATCAGGGGAAGGAAGTGAGAATTTAGAATTGTACTGCAAGCCTTAGAAGAATTAGGTTGGGGGAACAGGGTGGTGGATTTGAGACCCTGCTTGCCATACATTTGGAAAATGCAGGGAAAATCAGTCCCCCTGTGGAGTGTTAAAATAATTAAATGGGAGGCAATTGACTGAAGTGGCTGTAGGGCCCTGGGTTTCTACCTAAGAAAACCAAAACGTAACTCATGCATTTCTTAGAAATAATTTAAAGGAAAACAAAACAGTCTTAACCAACCACAAACCACCGATTAACCTTTGATTACATAATCAGGGAATTTCCGCCTGGACAGTTCAAATAAGGGGACTACATAACTGTAGCCAATCAATTACTGAATTGGCTTTGCTTCCTCATGCACCTTATAAAACCCTTTCCTTCAAGCCCCTCTGGTGGACCCCAAACCACAATCTATGGTTGTGGCTTCCTGATTCACGAGTCGTTATTTGCTCAAATAAAATATTTAACGTTTTAACCAAACCTCAGTTTAATTTTTAACAAAAGAAAGGACAGCGGACCCCACGGACTACAGCTCCTCCCACGCCCGAACCCTGAGCCGGGGTTCTCCCGTAAGGCCCCTCCCGTCATCACCGCACAACGCCGGGAGACACGCGGCTGCCGGCGCGGAACTGCCCAGAGAGGGCTCAGGGCAGGGCCAAGGTCGCCGCGCTGGGACGGGACGAGACGAGACGCTCGGGGTTCCACCTGCCGGCCGAGCTGCACCGTGCGACCGAGGAGACTCCGGGCCCCGACTCCGGAGCCGCCAGGGGGAGGCCCGGGTTCCAGCCGACCCCTGCAGCGTCTCGGGAAGCTAGGCAGACTCACCATCTCGCGGCTTCAGGAGCGTCCCGGTATCCTCTCTAGGGACCTTCCAGTACCTGGCAGGTCACAGGGCAAAGGAGACTGCGGAATGAAGGAGAAAGAGCAGAAACACAGATCAAGCAGGGAAGCGCACCTGGGAGAGAAAAAGGCCAGCCCAGAACTCAAGAAGTGCGCCCCCTTTTTCGGCTGCGCCCCTGATTGGACAGGCTCGACAACGGCGCCGCTGATTGAATAGGGCTCCAGGTCCCGCCCCCTTGCCCCCTGAGTGACAGGAGATGCGACCATAGGTGCGGCTGAATGAGGCCTGAATGAATGATTGTCTGCAGCCCTTTTCAGGCAGGGCTGACTCCCTGTGCTGGGACCGGGGTTGCCCCGGACGTGGGCATTTAACTTTGCTCATAAGGTTATATCGATTTATGAGTAATATATGTAATATGTAAAATTGAAGATTATATAATAACGATTCTTTTAAAATTTCAGATTTCATAACCTTCATGGCCTCTGGTTCCTTGAGGAGGCAGCATGAGATTTGAAAATGGAGGGAGTCCTCTAAGTCAGAAATGTCCAATAGGAATAAAAGTGAGCCGCATGTGTCATTTACAGTAGTCTAGTGGCATCATGAAAGGAAAACAGGTGAAATTGATGGTAATACCTTAACGTGATATATCCAAAATATTATCACTTATATATGTGAGCAATATGAAATTATTAATGAAGACCACCAGAAAATGCTTCTTAAATTTGGGGTACTAAATCTTGTAAAGTCATTGTGTATTTAAACTTCTAGCACATCTCAGTTCCAACCAGCCCCATGCAAAGAGCTCAGCAGGCCCACGTGGGCAGTGGCTTCAGCACTGAAGAGCAGCTCTGAGGTCACTTGTGCGTCTAACCTCAGGGAAGTCGAGGGCCTAGACCCCCTTTCCTGCCAGATGAGAGCGAACACCCTCATCCTGCCCATCTGTTTCCTCACGCCCAAGGGTGGGAGAGACAGTACCCAGTGACAGAGCCAGGGCTGCAGGCAAGAGGTGTCCACAGGTGGACCACTGCTGCCCACCTGCTTCTGGGCAAGGCTCCCTCACCCTTCCAAAGGTCAGACAGTGAACGAAGAGCGTCGGGCTTCAGGAGGAAACCCCGGACTTCAGATCTGTCAGCAGCCTCTTGACCTCCAAAGTTTGGATGTGGAGGGAATAAAGGCAAACTTTTTATTTTGCAATTTGCCCTTGGCCCTGATGATGAGGCTACGGCCGGCTATGAGTGTGGGGACTGTGTGAGTTTAAGCACCAAGCATGTCAACATGCATTTCTATGTAATTTATCCCTATCCAACAAGAGGCCCCCCTTTAAAGGGAAAAGCAAATCAATACCTTATACAGTGCCTTCTGTTTGCCAGGTAACAAGAAGTAGTAACCAGCCTGTCGTTTGAATCCTGGCATCCTGACTGCACCGGTGTATGTATCAGTTAGCTAATGCTACATAATAAACCACCCTAAACCTTATTAGCTAATAATTGGGATGGTCAGTCATTTAGGCTGGACTCAACTGGGCCATTTTTCTGGTCTCTGCTGGGCTCCTTCAGGCATGTGTGGTCAGCTGCTGGTTGACTAAGTGGCTCTGCTTCTGGGTGTGGGCTGGCTGTCAACTGGGGCACCTTGGTTTTCCTCCCCAGTGGGATCTCATCCTCCAGCAGGCTAACCTGTGCTTGTTGTCATGGAGATGGCAGGGTTATAAAAGAAAAAGTAGAAGCATTCAAGGCCTTTTGTCCCTAGACCCCAAACTTTCACACTGCCGTATTCATAGCTTTCTATTGCCCAGAGCAAATAAGGCCAGCTCACATCCAAGCATCAGGAAACAGATTCTGCCTGTCTGTTGGAGCAGCTATAAAAGCATATTCCAAAGGGTCTGGAAACGAGAGGGGATGCAGAATTGCTGCCATTCTGGCAATCAGTATCATTCTGCCTCTTCTTACAACAAGGTTTATATAACTGTTTCAAGTCAAGGAACTTATCCAAAGCGCTACAGCTATTAAGTGGCTGGACTGGGACTCAGGATCAACTTTGCCTGACTCCAAAGCCCATGTACCTCCATAGACCTTACAACTCAAGCAGCTTCCCTAGGCCTTTGAGATCCTGAAGACTGACTCTTCTGCAATAGAATAAAGGTTCTTTTGAGATGCTCATCCTTCTAGTAGGATTCTTCACAATTAGGAGTAATCCCCACCAGAGAATGCTTCTGAAATGTCCTGGAAACATTTAGATTAACTTGGGAAAATGGCTGATGGCTGAGTTTTAAAAATCAAGGCATAACTTTTTCATTTAAATTAATTTGGGGAAATGGCTGACTGCTGAGTTTAAAAAATCAAGGCATAACTTTTTAATTTCTTATCATAGGAGAGATCTGAAAACACATATAATGCAGGAACATGTGTGCAAATTATTTTTATCCCCATTCAGTATTTGTAGGCTGTTTATGATTTTTATCACAGACTAGGTCAAACTACTGTTCCTGAAACAACCTTTTACTCTGAAAGCAAGAGACACAAAGGTAGATCTGCCGAGAAGACATTTTCTCCTGCCTCAATTTAGCCAAACAGCTGAACAGGTATTAAAGTCAGCCTTCGATTTCTAACAAGTCAAGCTGTTTACCAAGTCCTCAATCAGATCATATGAGTCCTTCAGCTACTTCATCATCCTAGAAGGTTGACCAGACAGATCGAAGCTCTAAGGTGGAGTGATGAGAGGACCTGCACTAGCAGGTAGGCAGCCATAGGTCCATAGGTGAAAGTCATTCATTAAGTGGGGTGTTTTGGGGTCCTGATATTTATGACACAATTAACTTCTATATTACTAAATGTAAAGTATAGAACATTACAAATAATAAATCTACATATAAACTGAACATGTCAGCAATTACTATTATTGTTATTCATCATTATTCTAAGTGTGATCATTATTATCACAAGTAGAAATAGTGGTTGTGATTGTTGTTGCTGCTGTTGCTGCAGGGATTGTGATAAAAACACCAAGTAAGGCTCTGCTGCCTCCTCCACCTGTGGCATCGGGCTCTGCTGGGTCACTAGTTTGGTGCACACGCTGGACGTCTTTCTTGAAGCTACAGCTGAAGAGACTTCAGGCTCTGCTATGGCAGAGAAAGAGCCCCAGTTAAGGCTGAGAGCAGAATCCTATGAATTTGAAGGTGGTGGGTAGGATGGTCCCGGAGTGCAGTTGATGGTGAAGAGGTTAGTGAATAAGTGGAAGCCTTTGGTGAAAGGCAGAGTTTGTCCATGACACAGATCAGATTGCACTTTGGGGCCAATCAGTGAAACAGACACATCTGCTGAACTGGAAATGGAGGACAAAGATTCGGTCGATGTGTTCCAGAAGCAGACGGGAGTGTCTACTGAGAACATACTCACTGCTTTACCCCAGAACTCTGTTCCTACACACCAAGCAGACATTCTCATGTGGAAAACTGCAATGTGGTTCCACCACGTCTGACTGGTCCAGTATCCCTTTCTCTATTCTTCACTCTCTCCTTCCTCATTCCTTTACTGTACATAAATTACCAAGTGCAGCTGCACAAGCATATGGATGATTTTGTTTGCTTGCTTGTTTGATTGTACTGAATCACCAGCAGTTGGTGTTGAGTGATTTCCAATGGAAACAAGGCAAGGGAAAACACTGATTCTGGAAAAAGACTCCCTTTCTCCACCAGGGGATGCTCACTTACCTCTTATCTCTATGTTCCAGGCCTTTAACAACAACAGAACAAACATGATGATCCTTAACGCTTGTTGGAGGGAGAAGAAAAAAATATAATAATCTTTGCATACATTGTTCGATTGGATAATTTTGTTTTTGAAATATTCCATTGTGAAACTAAGGACAATTTCATAACTTTTTTAAATGTAGGGCAAATCTGTCCTTACACAGGACTAAGTGACACTAACAAGAACAGAATGAATCCCAGATATGTTCCTCTTCAAATCTGGATCTGGTTATCTAAACACACATCTTGTGTAAAATACATATATTTAAAAATGTATATAAATAGAAACATGAAGTTTCTCTAGCCACCAAGTAGGTTGGTTGGACTCAAAATGAGGTAGAAGGAGTTTCCATCTGCAATACATTTGAAGTCCTCCCAGGAACCAGGGAACTGTCCACACCCTCTGAGGATAGCCTCCTCCTCTTCTGCCTGGGGCTGGGTGCCTGTGAGATTCCCATGTCCTGGCCCAGGAGGTATATGGAGGGTGGGAGGTTGTCTGTCTCACACCCAGGCAGACATCCCTAGCGCAGGACTCTCTGGAAGGTATTCCCAGAGTCCCCAGAAGCTGCCAGGCTGACACCCTTCCAGAAAAGTTATACAGGTGAATTGCTCTTGGGGCTCATTCCATGGGTAATACCAAGCCACACTGCACACTGGATAGAGGGCAACACATCTCATGCAACTGCAAACTACAGTAAAGCTGTGTGTGTGTGTGTGTGTGTGTGTGTGTGTGTGTGTGTGTCAGAGTCTCACTCTGCTGCCCAGACTGGAGTGCAGTGGTGTGATCTCAGCTCACTCCAACCTCCACCTCCCAAGTTTAAGCGATTTTCCTGCTTCAACCTCCCAAATAGCTGGGATTACAGGTGCCCACCATGATGCCCAGCTAATTTTTGTATTTTTCGTAGAGACAGGATTTCACCATGTTGGCCAGGCTGGTCTTGAAGTCCTGACCTCAGGTGATCCTGCACGTGTGGTGTGTGTGTAGTGTAGGGTTGTGTGCTGTGTGTGCCCACATGGTATGTGTGTGGTGTGCATGCATGCACGTGTGGTGTGTGTAGTGTGTTTGTTGTGTATGTGTGTAATGTGTGTGATGTGCATGTGTACACTGGTGTATGTGGTTTGTGTGTTTTGTGCATGCATGTGTGTGGTGTGTGTGCATGTGTGCGTAGTGTAAGTGTGTAGTATACGTGTAACATGTGTATGTAGTGTGTGGCATACGTGTGTGTGATGTGTGTGTATGTGGGGGGCAGGGTGTGTGTGTGTGTGTGTTTTAAGACAGAGTCGCCCAGGTTGGAGTGCAATGGCGCGATCTCGGCTCACTGCAACCTCTGGCTCCCGGGTTCAAATGATTCTCCTGCCTCAGCCTCCGGAGTCGCTGGGATTACAGGCATCCACC